CTTTTAAAAGCCATACTGGAGGGAAAAGGGAAGCAAAAGAATAAGAGATAGACAGCGATACAATTGAGAGGACAATATTAATAGATGGACGAATAGCAGTCTGAGAAAGTGTAAAACCCAGACAAGAGACAGCCAACTTCCACTGTGAAGATGGCACCTGACTGAACGCATTTTTTACATAGCCTAAGTACTTTAACTGTCTGACCATGATCTCATACAGTAAAATTGTCTTAAGTAGAAACAAAAATAAACAAACATATTAAACAAACATATTTACAATGTTATAGACACAAACAAAATGTAATTGCTGGAGAACCCTTGTGACTACTGGAATAGATGATAATAATAAACTAAATATATTAAATTGTAAAGTACACTTACAGATGTAGAAGACAGAAGTGGAGACAGGAAGACAAACTCAAATGCAAGATTTAGTGGTCCAGTTTGTCCTCCTGGCATACCAGAATCTGCAAAGTTTTTGACTTGGGGGGGGGGTGAGGGACCCAGGTCAGTTTTGCCAGACCTTACTACTGACCTGACTCATGTACAGACACCCTCCCCCACCACCACCCCCCCCCCCCCCCCCCCTTTTCTGACCTGACCCACTTTAAGTCTGGAAAGGCTAAATGTATGATTCGCCAACTTAAGCTAAGGATATGGAATGGTAGTATGCAAAACTTTCTTGTGGGAAAAAAAATCACACACACATGAATGCATACAAATCCCCCCCCCCCCCCCACACACATGAATGCATGCTACCCACACACACACATATACATGCATGTATATTAAAAGTAATTACATTATCAATACTAGACAGTTTTCTTCATAAACACATGTTGACAAATATCTTCTTCTTCTTCTTCTTCTTCAGCATTCCGAGCCCTTGAGGTTCATTGCTGCAGAATTAACTCACCTCCATTCATCTTTCTGGTTGGCCTTCTCTTTCCAGTTGGTGACACAAAGTGTTTGCAGGTCTGTCTGGACATTATCTTGCCATCTTCTTCTTGCTCTGCCTCATAGTCTACGACCATTCATCTCCCTTAAGTATAGTTTTTACTTCTCTGTCATCTGACATTCTTTCAATATGCCCCAATATAGACAAAAATTCATCCCAAAAATAACACTCTTTGTGTGGTGATGTTTATTTAATTCTTTTTCTTTTATGTATTAGAATCAGGACAAACAGAAAATTCTTGTATGAGCTTTGCTCTGATATGGGTGTTAATTCCTTTTTATATCATTTATCCATCTTTTGCAAAACCATATGTTTGCTCTATTCAAATGTATCTGAGTGACACACAGTTTGTGGAACATGCCTAGGGATAGTAACAGTCAATGACCAACCATTTTAATTGCTGCTTTGATATTAAACAAAATAATCTCATATTTTATTTTATTTGTCCTTGTCATACAAGGTGTCAATCGCAAGCATTTATTTTTCTTATTTTAATGTTTATATATTTCTTTGTTGGTGATGTGTGGGTATAATGTTGAGCGTGATGGATAGTAAAGACAATTGTGTTGAACACTGTTCTGCTTAAGTGTCACACATTTGTTGTGAAATATACATGACACCTGCTAAACAATCTGGCTTGCTTTTTGTTTTCAGTCTGTGACCTTTGAAAATAAAGTTTGTTTGTCCTTTTATTCATATGCATTTAATTTGAGCACTTATGTTTTTCATCAATAGAAATTAGCTTATCTGGTATGTGAAGACCTTTAATTGCTTCAGCTGTTGTTTTTTAATATAGATTTTTGTCTCCACTTCTGCTTAGGCAACTGTACTGACGTCTGTGTATCCAGCATAATTATTGATACATGTCAATTCTGTTGCTGCTAGGATAATATTTAAAAAATACACAAAAGTTAACCAAGACACAATATTTGTGCAGTAGGAGTGAGGTTTTACTGAATAACACAAAACTCAACGCTACTTAAAGTGGTACAAACTCAATGCTACTCATGGCAGTATAAATTCAATGGAATTCAAAGCGGTACAAACTCAATGCTACTTATAGTGGTTACAAATTCAGTACTACTCTTCTTCTTCTTCTGCTTCAGCGTTCCCAGTCCTTGAGGTTCATTGTTGCAGACATCACCTGCCTCCACTCCTCTCTCTGGTTGGCCTTCTCTTTCCAGTTGGTGACACCAAGTGTTTGCTAGCCTGTCTGGACGTTATCTTTCTCTTTTTGGTCTGCCTCGTGGTCTACACGAGCATTTAGGTCTATTAGATCTATGTGATCAATGGTGATTTACACATACTATGAATTTAGTTCGAGGCTTGGATATCTGTTTTGTGACGAAATAAAGTTTTACGAAGATGGGGGAATGTTATTCTTAGTGCTTAGTTTTCTTAGTAGCAATACTACTCTTAGTGGTATAAAATTCAATGCTTCTCTCAGTGGTTCAAACTCAGTGTAACTCATAGTGGTTCAAACTCAGTGTTACTCATAGTGCTTCAAACTCAGTGTAACTCATAGTGCTTCAAACTCAGTGTAACTCATAGTGCTTCAAACTCAGTGTAACTCATAGTGCTTCAAACTCAGTGTTACTCATAGTGCTTCAAACTCAGTGTAACTCATAGTGCTTCAAACTCAGTGTAACTCATAATGCTTCAAACTCAGTGTGACTCATAGTGCTTCAAACTCAGTGTTACTCATAGTGCTTCAAACTCAGTGTAACTCATAGTGCTTCAAACTCAATGCTACTCTTAGTGCTTCAAACTCAATGCTACTCTTAGTGGCACAAATTCAATGCTACTCATAGTGGTTACAAACGCAATGCCACTCTTAGTGGTACAAACTCAATGCTACTCATGGTGGTTACAAAATCAGTGCTGCTCTTAGCGGTACAAATTAAATGCTAATCATAGTGGTACAAACTCAAAGCTAACTCAATGCTACTCATAGTGGTTACAAACTTAATAATGCTACTCACCGTGATAAAAACTCAATGCTACTCATAGTGGTAGAAACTCGATTCAACTTATAGTGGTACAAACTCAATGCTGCTCATAGTGGTTACAAACTTAATAACTTAATGCTACTCATAGTGGTACAAACTCAATGCTACTCACAGTGATAAAAACTCAATGCTACTCACAGTGATAAAAACTAAATGCTACTCATAGTGGTACAAACTAAATGCTAACTCAGAATGACATAAACTCAGCAGTACTCATTCACTGAGACATAAACTTAATGCTGTAAAGAAATAATCAAAAACTGAATGACGCCATTGTGATAAATCAAGAAAACGGCTAATACATACACTATTCTCCCAACTTTATGTTATCAATTTCAGACATGGACACTCCTAGAAAAACATAAATAGAGAATGACAACATGTGAGATGAGAAGTATAAGAATTAGAGTGGGAAAAACAAGACGAGACAAAGTCATCAACAAACAACTAAAACAATGGAAGACTCAGTATGGCAAATTTTTGAATAAAACATCAAAGAATTATTAGGTTTGGTTATCTGTTCAGATGAGAATAATTATGAGAAGAATAAGAAACAAAATTAAACCAGAAATCAGCGATGAACAATGTGGTTTTGTAGAAGGAAAAGGTACAAACAATGCCATATACATCCTAAGGACATTGTCAGAAAGAGCTATAGAAGTAAAGACTGATTTGTACTTATGCTTCATAGACTATACAAAAGCATTTGACTGTGTGAAGCATGAAGAAATAATCAAACTGTTAGAACAATTAAACATTGATGGGAAAGATCTAAGAATAATAAAGAATATGTATTGGCAGCAAACAGCAGCTATAAGAATTAACAACTGTTTAGGTACATTTCAAAGCATAAAGAGGGGCGTACGGACCAAGGATGTGTACTTTCACCTGATTTGTTTTCAATATACAGTGAATATATTATGAGATCTTTAATTGATACGCCCGGAATCGTGGGTGGTGGGGCACAATATAACAATTTACGTTATGCTGATGACACAGTCTTGATAGCAACAAGTCAGAAAGAATTACAGGAAATGATAGACATTGTGGTGTTTAGAAAGTGGAAGAATGGGCCTCAGTTTGAATAATGGAAGTACAGAAGTAATGGTGGTATCAAAGAAACAAATTATTCCTAAATGGTAATAAAAGTCAATGGTGTTATTTTAAGACAAGTACAAGAAATTTAAGTATCTGGGCACATGGATAACATCAGATGGAAGATGCATAACTGAAATAAGAAACAGAATTGGACAGGCAAAAACTGCATTTTATAAAATGAAAAACATCTTGTGCAATATATCCTTGTCATGAGAGTTAGGAAAAAGAATTCTTGCTTGCTACATACATCCAGTTTTACATATGGATGTGAATCCTGGACAATCGGTAGGCAGGCCAAACAATTTATGGAGGCCCTCAGAGATGTGGTTTTACAGAAGAATGCTTAGAATACCTTGGACAGCCAAAAAGAGCAACCAAGAGGTTTTAAAAGAGGCGGGAGACCGAAGACAACTTATCAATGACATCAGGAGACAGTCATCATTTTTCGGCCATGTTATGAGAAGAGGGAAAATAGAACATGTTGTGACCACTGGAAAGATCTGTGGAAGGAGGGATAGAGGAAGACAACGAGAGAAGATGCTTGACAGTCTTGTTGCATGGCATGGAGGTGTGTCGGCACACGAACTGATACATGCTGCAGGAGATCGCGGATTATGGAGAGGCATGATCGCCCACGCCAGTCGGCAAAGCACCTGATGATAATGATGATGATGATCTGTTCAGAATGGAACAAACAAAGCCAACAGCTAGAGTGTAATACATGAAAACCGCAGGCTACAAGTCAAGAGGTTAACCAAGAAAAAAATGGGTGGGGGGAGTTAAAGAGAAATACAGTATGATATTAACAGAAGCTATGCAACTAGCAAAAGACACGAAAATACATCTAGCTGCTCTCGTTGAGACATTATGGCAAAAGTTGTGCAACAAAAGAAAGAAAAGAATGCTAAATACTGGCAACACTTCTTGTACCAGTTCTACCTCAACCAAGGCTTGATGCAGGTTGCAAACACATGGTCGTCTGAATGCCACTTTACATGACGTATTCCTGCGACTGTTTGTTTAATTATGGATCCTCGAGAGTTCATAGTCTTCAGGCCAAATGCATCATTGAGATACCACTGGAGAACAAAAAATATATTAGGGAATATTTTAGAATTGTAAAGTGTAGTGCTAAGCTTTGTCTTCAATGCTTAGTGTGGAGCAAATATCAACAATCATGACTCTCTGACCATGTCTTCAATGCTTAGTGTGGAGCAAATATCAACAATCATGACTCTCTGACCATGTCTTCAATGCTTAGTGTGGAGCAAATATCAACAATCATGACTCTCTGACCATGTCTTCAATGCTTAGTGTGGAGCAAATATCAACAATCATGACTCTCTGACCATGTCTTCAATGCTTAGTGTGGAGCAAATATCAACAATCATGACTCTCTGACCATGTCTTCAATGCTTAGTGTGGAGCAAATATCAACAATCATGACTCTCTGACCATGTCTTCAATGCTTAGAGTGGAGCAAATATCAACAATCATCACTCTGGACCATGTCTTCAATGCTTAGAGTGGAGACTCTCTGACCATGTCTTCAATGCTTAGAGTGGAGCAAATATCAAACAATCATGACTCTCTGACCATGTCTTCAATGCTTAGTGTGGAGCAAATATCAACAATCATGACTCTCTGACCATGTCTTCAATGCTTAGTGTGGAGCAAATATCAACAATCATGACTCTCTGACCATGTCTTCAATGCTTAGTGTGGAGCAAATATCAACAATCATGACTCTCTGACCATGTCTTCAATGCTTAGTGTGGAGCAAATATCAACAATCATGACTCTCTGACCATGTCTTCAATGCTTAGTGTGGAGCAAATATCAACAATCATGACTCTCTGACCATGTCTTCAATGCTTAGTGTGGAGCAAATATCACACAATCATGACTCTCTGACCATGTCTTCAATGCTTAGTGTGGAGCAAATATCAACAATCATGACTCTCTGACCATGTCTTCAATGCTTAGTGTGGAGCAAATATCAACAATCATGACTCTCTGACCATGTCTTCAATGCTTAGTGTGGAGCAAATATCAACAATCATGACTCTCTGACCATGTCTTTCAATGCTTAGTGTGGAGCAAATATCAACAATCATGACTCTCTGACCATGTCTTTAATGCTTAGTGTGGAGCAAATATCAACAATCATGACTCTCTGACCATGTCTTTAATGCTTAGTGTGGAGCAAATATCAACAATCATGACTCTCTGACCATGTCTTTAATGCTTAGTGTGGAGCAAATATCACAATCATGACTCTCTGACCATGTCTTTAATGCTTAGTGTGGAGCAAATATCAACAATCATGACTCTCTGACCATGTCTTCAATGCTTAGAGTGGAGCAAATATCAACAATCATGACTCTCTGACCATGTCTTTAATGCTTAGTGTGGAGCAAATATCAACAATCATGACTCTCTGACCATGTCTTCAATGCTTAGTGTGGAGCAAATATCAACAATCATGACTCTCTGACCATGTCTTCAATGCTTAGAGTGGAGCAAATATCAACAATCATGACTCTCTGACCATGTCTTCAATGCTTAGTGTGGAGCAAATATCAACAATCATGACTCTCTGACCATGTCTTCAATGCTTAGAGTGGAGCAAATATCAACAATCATGACTCTCTGACCATGTCTTCAATGCTTAGAGTGGAGCAAATATCAACAATCATGACTCTCTGACCATGTCTTCAATGCTTAGAGTGGAGCAAATATCAACAATCATGACTCTCTGACCATGTCTTCAATGCTTAGAGTGGAGCAAATATCAACAATCATGACTCTCTGACCATGTCTTCAATGCTTAGAGTGGAGCAAATATCAACAATCATGACTCTCTGACCATGTCTTCAATGCTTAGAGTGGAGCAAATATCAACAATCATGACTCTCTGACCATGTCTTCAATGCTTAGTGTGGAGCAAATATCAACAACTCATGACAATCTCTGACCACCATGTCTTCAATGCTTAGAGTGGAGCAAATATCAACAATCATGACTCTCTGACCATGTCTTCAATGCTTAGTGTGGAGCAAATATCAACAATCATGACTCTCTGACCATGTCTTCAATGCTTAGAGTGGAGCAAATATCAACAATCATGACTCTCTGACCATGTCTTCAATGCTTAGAGTGGAGCAAATATCAACAATCATGACTCTCTGACCATGTCTTCAATGCTTAGTGTGGAGCAAATATCAACAATCATGACTCTCTGACCATGTCTTCAATGCTTAGTGTGGAGCAAATATCAACAATCATGACTCTCTGACCATGTCTTTCATCTGACCTTTAAATAAAGTTGATGATGATTATATTATTTGTTGTCTAACTGTTTAGGCTTATCATGTGCGTCTTTCTGTATTTATCTATTCCTCTCATTTAGAACTTTCTCACATAAGACAAATTTGTCTATTTCACTTCTTCAGCAATAAATTTGTCTTTTTATTTATCATTTTAAACATGGATGTGTCTTATCACCATTGTTGTCTATCACCTACAATGGCAGAATATGCAGAGATGCTAAATTCTGGGATGAAAATAATAGTAATAAACAATGAATTATTCTTTGCTGATGAACAGGTCTTTCAGCCATGAAATTTAAACAGCATCTGACATCTATAAATAAAGAATCTAAAAAATAATAATATGATAATCTAATGAAAAGACAGAAGTAATGTCAATAGGAAGAAAGAAGGATTAACTAAATTCAACAGTAGAGTGCAATAGCATTAAACAGGCATCTGAGTTTAAATATCTGGCTACAAGGTTCACTGAAGATGGGGAAAATGGATGAAGAAATTAATATCAGAGGCAGTAAGGCAAACCAAGTATCAGGACAGTCCCCCCCCCCCCCCCCCCACTTTTTAAAACATAAGACAATCCCAATCACCACAAAGAAACATCTCATACAAAGCAGATACATTCCCATTCTATGCTAAGAGAGCAGATATGGTCACTCACAGTGTGTTTCTGTGTGTTTGTCCGTATGTGTTTGTCTGCATGTTTGTCTGTATGTTTGTGTGTGTCTATGTGGCTGTATGTATGTATCTGTGTGCAGATTTGTCTGCGTAAGTATGTGTCTGCATATGTGTGTGTGTCAGTGTTTATGCCAGTGTGTGAGCATTTATGTATATATTGACTGCCGTGCGTCTGCGTGTGTGTGTTTATATGTATGTGTCTGTGTGTGTCTGTATGTTTGTCAGCATGTGTGTGTGTCTCTGTGTGTGAGTATGCGTGTGTCGTAGGCATGTCTGTGTGTGCATGTGTGTGTTTGCATGCATGCCTGTATGTATGTATGTATGTATGTATGTATGTATGTATTTATGTATGTATGTATTATGTATGTTTGTTGTTGTTGTTATCGATCCAGCGGCGCATGAGCTTTCGCCCTTTGGCCCAATGCCATGTAGTGGAATTTGCATGTTTTCACAAGCTGTTCTTTTCCTCCGTACAAGGTGTTCCACTTGTCTGGTCTCGGAGGGAGTAGCGTTCTTCTTGTCTCACTGAGTTTTGGGCACTCAAAGAGATGGTGTTCAACAGTTTCGTAGGGGTAGTTACATAGCTGGCACTCTGGGGAGTGTTGTGGCTGTATTCTGTTTAGGTGTCCATTGAGTGGAGTATGTTGCGTTCTAAGTCTGAAGATGGTGGCCTGGTCCCTTCTAGTTAGATGGTTAATGCTGTCATTAGGATCAGGGCCAGACATATGTCTATAAACCTCTCTTCCAGTGTCTCCCATGGCCCATCTGTTCAACCAAGTCTCTTTGTTTATAGCTCTTATCAGTGTTTTTGCTGTCTGGAGGGTTGTCGCTGTAGGTGGTTGTTCTTGTGTTGCTCCTTTCTTTGCCAATCTGTCAGCTCTGTCATTACCTGGTGTGCCGGAGTGACCTGGAATCCACTGCATCACTATTCTGATGTTGTATGAGGTAATAAGATGATCGGCATCCAGGATTATCTTGGCTATGTCAGTTCTGCAGCGTTTGTTGCCCCTCCAGAGCTTGAAGGGCAGACATTGAATCTGTGAAGATGACAATATTTTGGACCTTTGAGGGGTAAAACATCCATTACAGTCTTTAGGTGGTATACTGCTGTTTCCAGTGCAATTATTTCAGCTTCATAGTTTGAACAGAATTCCCCCGCATGCATCAAAAATCTCTTCAACAGATCCATCGGGATAACCTATGTAGATTCCGTAACCTGCTTTAATGGTAGCTTTAAATGCTGATCCATCAGTATAGACATGTATCCATTCTTGGGGGTAAGAATCAACGGTCTTTAGTGATGAGTTCATAAGAGCGATTGGGTCGGACTGTTTGGTTTCCTCGCCTACCAATTTAGTTTGGACTTCTGGAGCTTTAAAGCGAGCATGTGGTGGTAGGTTTTTTGCAACATTCTGAATTCCTTGACGTCTTTCTGGGAGATGTATGTTTGTATGTATGTATTAATGCATACAGTGAGTGGGTGAGCGTGTGTATGTGGGTGTGTGAATGCGCGTGCAAGTTTTTGCATGCATTTTACAACACCTGCTTTTGTGTTTTTTTTATGATATTCATAGTATACATATCATTATATGATCATAACATGCTTTATTAGGAAAATACAACTGCTGTACAAAAGATGGGTGATTGGAAGGGCCGAATGAAATATGGCCTGCATGCCCAATTTGTGATCCTTTGAAAATTAGTAACTACAGATATGAGATGTCTGAGAAAGGCGGCAGGAGTGACTAGAAGAGATCAAGTGGTTTCCCTTGTGATGTCACACACCAAAAGAGCAGAAAGATGTAGAGCACAAGGTAGAACAAGATTAAGATGGAAAGATAACATCAGAAAAACTCTACAACAGCACAATGTGTCTAAGAAGCAGAATCTTTTATCTCCTGTGACACCCAAAGTGGCAAAAGAAGAGGTGAAAAAGAAGAAAAGGAAGATCTGCAGATTGCATGTTGGGTTCATTTATTTTAATAGTTACCTCTTGTTCTTCCATTGGTAGGACAGCTTCTGAAGAATTGAACATACCAAAGTGGCTGTTGATGAAAGAAAGCACAAAACAGACATTAAGTGTCACCTTGCCTCTGTAACTATGAGCCAGTGGCTGCATGTCAATTTTGTTTGAACATAATTAGCAGCAAAGGCAACAGTTATAATAACCAAATATAAAAGTAAATCATAAATATTTCTGCAGATGAACTGTTTACACATTTTATAACTGGACACTGTGAGTTTATAATTGGACACTGTGAGACTTATTGAATATTTTATAACTAGATAGTTTATTAATGCATAAACATCTTACTAGACAGTTCAGTACTTCTTCTTTGCTATCGGTTTTGTATGTTCAGGTCAGACCATCAGGTGGGTTCTCCCTATGAACTTGCATGTCAGCTGCAGGTCCTGCATGGTTTCCCACAGCATGCTCTGCACATTTTGCTCTTGAAGCCAGATTTATTTTTGAAGTTAAAGGTAGAGACAGTCATCATTTTTTTGGTCATGTAACGAGAAGAGGAAAATTTGAACATTTTGTGACCACTGGAAAGATTTGTGGAAGGAGAGGCAGCGTGATAAGATTCTTGACAGTCTCTTGTCACAGCATGAAGAGGTGTCAGCACAAGAACTGATACACACAGTTGCAGATCGCAGATTGTGGAGAGGCATGATCACCCACGCCAGTCGGCAAGGCACTCGATGGTGATGAGGTAGTGTGAGCAGGTCTACAGAATGTGCTCAGGTGTTTGTGGTTGTGTCTGACAGGCACACTGTGGAGACTGTACAGTCTTAATTGTATGCATGTAATTGTTCAACCTGCAGTTCGTAGATGGAAAATTGCTGTTTGTTGCCTTCTGTTGAGTCTGATGCGGATACTTCTGTTGGTTTGTTCTCTCCACAATTTCTTGTATTTCCCCTTGATAAATGTTTTTATTTCTGGTAATGACAATAAATGGGTGTGTTGTTTCTCTTTTGTTCCATCTTTTTTTTGCAAGTCTGACCACTAACTCATTTACTGGTATGCCACAGTGAGCCGGGATCCGCTTGAGAACGTTTCGATTGTTTTCTGAAAGTCTGTTTAGCTGGCAGGTCAGTTCTCTCTCCATGTTATCTCACTGATCCCTTTGAGTTGCCTGGAGGACTGACATGCAGCACACAGGAAAACAATTTTTCTGCTTTTAAATTGTCTTTCCTCAAGCACTTTGGCTGCATCAATAATTGCTTGCTGCTCTGCTCTAAAGTTTGTTCAGAGTCTTCCGGAGGCTCATGACATTTCTGCTGCTTTGTTTTTTTCAGTCAGTTTTTAGTTAAGATATTTGCTATTCTGTGTAAGCAAGTTGTTGTTCATGCATTTAAATTTGTCTGTTAGGGTAAGCACCTTTCTTTCCTTTTAAATACAGTACTATGTAAACATTCTATAACTAGACAGTGTAGTACTGCATAAACATTTAAACTAAACAGTGCAGAATTATGCAAACATTTTATTACTAAACAGTGAAATGCCCTTTAAAAAAAACATTTCTGATATTTGCCTACAATACTGGCGATTACCTGGTAGTTACTATGTATGACTGCATAATAATATTTACTTGTCTCTACCTGTCCTAAATAAAATCAAGTGTGTAATAACATATGACATGTCATTCATTTAAACTTCCCAGTAAAAGGGTCTTGTGATGGGGGGGGGGGGGGGGGGGGGGGAGATATGATCTGTCCTCTGTCAAGCATGTCACAAAATGTGAATAATTAACATGCCCCTGAAATCAGATGTGTTGAACCAAAAGATGCTGCAGCCTAGCTGTAAACCACAGAATAATATGGCAACCGCTCTTTTGAAGGCAAGCACATAACAAGAAGAATTTTAACTACATGACACTTCAAGACTGCAAGATGCAGTACACAATACACATACATGTGAAATGTCTCATACTATAGGACTTCATTATATTGCAGGAAATATTTACGGACCTCTTTTCTGACCAGCTACACACTGGGCATATTTTATAGATCAATCAGCACTCACTGGGGGGTCGAGGTCAACAACATGCAAGCCTTTACTACCCAGGACATTTACCTGATACCGATTTTAGGCCGGGTCAAACTGATAGTCAATAATTTACCTGGCATGCAAACACAGGATCTTCAGGATGACAGGATAGAGCCCAGCCACTGCACCACCACTCACAGGATAAGAAAAAAAAAACATTTACTATATGATAAGATAAGATAAGATGCTACCCAATTTTTTTAGAGACAGACCTTGTCGAGCAGATAAATAAGTCGACAACAAAATGTACCTGGATTGCCAGGGGGAAATAACTCCATCATCCGGGCCACCCACAAGAATCAAGTTCTTCAATCGCAGAAAATTTTTCCTGAATTCTGAAAAGAGAAGAAAATATAGTACTCCTACTTTAAGGTGGGGGGAAAATGCAGTAACTTTATGGGCGTAATGACTGATTGTCAAATCAATTTTTAATCATACACTATATCGGAATTTTCTGGAAACTGTGGAGGAAGATGGCAAGAAATGAATCTGGCCAAACACTTCATACCCCAATAACTGAAACTGCTTTGGGACTAACTCTGCCTACTATGCATGAAGGAAACAGTCATAAGGCTTTCATTATCAGCTTTCCTTGAATTCATTTAACCAATTTCTCCCTGTGGGATCCGGGGTCCTATTGTGAGGAAAACAAGAAATGACCCACTGCCTTCCCACAAGTAAATCGTAGGAGTAAACTAGGGGGAGGGAGGGGTAGGGGGAAGGGGTGGGGGCCTTCAAAGTCGGAGTACCTCTGCCTGAGAGGAAATGAACCAAGAGTCTGCAAACAAATAAGCCAGATCGGTGAAACAGATATGCACACAACACTCAAGTTCTGGTACAAGACTATAATCCAGTGGATGAACATCCAGAACTTTCTGCCCGGGTTTACAGCCAGCCGTGAATGTGAAGAAGAAGAGGATTCAACCAATCCATTCATTCCAGTGAAATGTGATTAAAAAGCTTAACCAAATAGGGAAGCAAAAAAACATATACAAAACAACACAACATTTCGGCCAGCAGCCTTTGTCAACATGAAGTTGTTTCGGCTGCCGGCTGAAATGTTTTTTGCACATTTTTATGCTTCCTCATTTGGTTAAATTTTTAGTCAAATTTCACTGGAATTTCTTGTGTTAGCTTGACTGCAATCACCCCCGTATTTTCACCATTCATTACAGTTCTATCAAAACTGATTTTCGCTTGAATTAAATATATCATGTTAATGGTAAATCAAGAATGCTTGATACTCACCCTGGCTCCTTGGGTTGAAGGTCGTCGACTGGTTATTGAGAACTGCCAAAAATGTTGAGACATTTTTAAACAAATCTTGCTGATGAGGATCTGTGGAAACAAATTCAAACAATTCTTGCTCATGGGGAACACAAAAATTTGTTCAAACAATTCTTTCTCATGGGGAACACAAAAATATGTTCAAACAATTCTTTCTCATGGGGAACACAAAAATATATTCAAACAATTCTTTCTCATGGGGAACACAAAAATATGTTCAAACAATTCTTGCTCATGAGAACCTGTACAATTTTCCTTAAAACATTTAGTGCTGACAAGGATCTACAGACGATAATATAAACAATTACTATTAATGAGGATCTGTAGGTATTACTTTAAACAATTAATGTTGATGGTGATCTATAGACATTACTTTAAACAGTTCTTGTTCATGAGAATCTATAGAAGTTACTGTTTATGAGGATCATTAAACAATTAATGTTGATGGAGATCTATAGACATTACTTTAAACAATTCTTGTTCATAGGGATCTATAGAAGTTACTGTAAACAATTACTGTTGATAGGGACCATGGAAGTTATTCTAAGCAATTACTGTTGACAGAGGTCTATAGATGCTACCTGAAACAATTGTTGTTCATGGAGATCTATAAAAGTAACATTAAAATTTTTTATTCATGGCAATCTACATAAGTCACATTAAAAAACATTGTTCATGAGGATCTGTGCGTATAACTACAAACAGTTCTTGTTCATGAGGATCTGTGGAAATAACTACAAACAGTTCTTGTTCATGAGGTTCTGTGGGAATAACTACAAACAGTTCTTGTTGATGAGGATATGTGGGTATAACTACAAACAGTTCTTGATCATGAGGTTCTGTGGGAATAACTACAAACAGTTCTTATTGATGAGGATCTGTGGGAATAACTTCAAACAGTTCTTGTTTATGAGGATCTGTGGGAATAACTTCAAACAGTTCTTGTTCATGAGGATCTGTGGGAATAACTACAAACAGTTCTTGTTAATGAGGATCTGTGGGAATAACTACAATCAGTTCTTGTTGATGAGGATCTGTGGGAATAACTACAATCAGTTCTTGTTTATGAGGATCTGTGGGAATAACTTCAAACAGTTCTTGTTCATGAGGATCTGTGGGAATAACTACAAACAGTTCTTGTTGATGAGGATCTGTGGGTATAACTACAAACAGTTCTTGTTGATGAGGATCTGTGGGTATAACTACAATCAGTTCTTGTTCATGAGGTTCTGTGGGAATAACTACAATCAGTTCTTGTTCATGAGGTTCTGTGGGTATAACTACAAACAGTTCTTGTTCATCATGTAAAGAGTGAAAGAGCAAATCTGTGTGGAGCTACTAGTGTGTCTTGTCCTTGAGTACAAGAGTCTTCAGGTTTATTAGGACAAATCTGTTTTTATCTCAAGGTTTTGTGTCCTTCTGTCCAAAAGGTCATATCAGCAGCTCTGTGAATGACTACTGAAATCACTGACCAACAATATTTCTTCACATGTGGTGTATATTTAGAGCAAGCAGGTAATAATCAGTAGTTCAGTGGGTGAAATTCTGTAATGTCTATTCTGAAATGCAGCATCAGGTATTCTGCTCTATTCATGAAGATGTCTCATTTGTCTAAACCATTGTCAGATATACAAGGAGTGTACATGGGAGGATACTAGCCTTATCCTAGGACAAGGAGTGTGCACAGGAGGATACTAATCTTATCCTAGGACAAGAAGAGTAAAGGGCAGGATACCAGCCTTATCCTAGGACAAGAAGTGTACAGGGAAGTATGCCGGCCATATCCTAGGACAAGGGTGTCCAGGAAGGAGACGAGCCTTATCCTAGGACAAGGAGTGTACAGGGGAGAATACCAGCCTTATCCTAGGACAAGGAGTGTGCACAGGAGGATACTAATCTTATCCTAGGACAAGGAGAGTACAGGGCAGGATACCAGCCTTATCCTAGGACAAGGAGTGTACAGGGGAGAATACCAGCCTTATCCTAGGACAAGGAATGTACAGGGGAGAATACCAGCCTTATCCTAGGACAAACAGAGTACAGGGCAGGATACCAGCCTTATCCTAGGACAAGGAGTGTACAGGGGAGAATACCAGCCTTTTCCTAGGACAAGGAGTGTTCAGGAGAGAATGCCAGCCGTATCCTAGGACAAGGAGTGCACAGGGGAGAATGCCAGCCATATCCTAGGACAAGGAGTGTACAGGGGAGGATACCAGCCATATCCTAGGACAAGGAGTGTACAGGGGAGAATGCCAGCCTTATCCTAGGACAAGGAGTGTACAGGGGAGGATACGAGCCTTATCCTAGGACAAGGAGTGAACAGGGGAGAATGCCAGCCTTTTCCTAGGACAAGGAGTATACATGGGAGGATATTAGCCTTATCCTAGGACAAGGAGTGTACATGGGAGGATACTAGCCTTATCCTAGGACAAGGAGTGTACAGGGGAGAATGCCAGCCTTTTCCTAGGACAAGGAGTGTACATGGGAGGATACTAGCCATATCCTAGGACAAGGAGTGTACAGGGGAGGATACCAGCCATATCCTAGGACAAGGAGTGTACAGGGGAGAATGCCAGCCTTTTCCTAGGACAAGGAGTATACATGGGAGGATACTAGCCTTATCCTAGGACAAGGAGTGTAGAGGGGAGGATACCAGCCTTATCCTAGGACAAGGAGTGTACAGGGGAGGATACCAGCCTTATCCTAGGACAAGGAGTGTACAGGGGAGAATACTAGCCTTATCCTAGGACAAGGAGTGTATAGGGGAGGATACTAGCCTTATCCTAGAACAAGGAGTGTACAGGGAAGAATGCCAGCCTTATTCTAGGACAAGGAGTGTACAGGGGAAAATGCAACCTGATAACCTAATGTTATAGCAGGGTGCACCAGATCTTTAGTTTAAAAATGGGATGATTACCCCTGTGTGGGTTCCGTGGCCCCATTGTGGGGAAATCAAGAATAGACCCACTGCCTCCCCAAAAGCATGTCGTAAGAGTTGACTAATTGGGGAGCTTCCTTTAAAGTCGGAGTGCATCTGCCGGAGAGGCAAGGAACCAACAGTCTGTATTCAAGAGAATGAGATCTGTAAAACTGATGCACATGCAACACTCAGGTTCTGGAGCAGGACTGCAGTTCAGTAGTGGACGAGCAACCAGAACTTTCCGCCAGAGTGTACAGCTGGTGAACGCGAAAAAGAAGAAGAAGAAAATGGGATGCACTTGAAAAAAACTGTATAAAATAAGATGTCTTCAAAATGGGTAGCTTCATACCCTATTGCATTTTATTGAGACATTTCACCACAGGCATGAGAGACACAATAAATTTTGATGGTGTAACATCAGACAAGTTTGTAACCTAGACTGGAATGAAGCAGAGCTGTGTACTTGCCCCTATACATTTTGGAATAGATGTTTTATTTATTCTTAACTATATCTTTCAAGATCAGAAGGCAGTATATTTCTCAATTCTTCTATTCGGCTCTCCTTTCAACTTCGGCTGGTAGACAAACATCGACGGCCGGTTAGTCAGAGTTATGTCCCCTTGCTACAGTGCAATTACGGACTGGAGACGGCACGAATCAAACAACACACTGAGGTCGACATGCAAACCCCGCCCTGCCACTCAAATTAGCGACCGCGTTCAATTACCGCTTCTTCTGACGCATTACGGAGTGGACTAGAGGGAACGACACAAGTGACATAGTTACTGTGTGTCGGCGATAGACAGCGTGCAGTGCCCTAGGGTTAGGGGTAGGGTTAGGGGAAGGGGTAGGATTTGGGTTAGGGTTAGGGTTTGGGTTGCTACTATGAGTTTGTGCGAAGACGAGATGCGGCGACAGTAACCTTAACCCACACCCTAAACCTAATCCTACCGCTAAACCAAACCCTAACCCTAACCCTACCCTAACCCTGAACCAAACTCTAACCCTACCCCTAACCCAAACCGTAACCGTATGCTGTATATCGGCAACACACAGTAATTATGTCATTTGTTTCGTTCCCTCCTGTCCAGTCCGTATTTGCACTGTAGCAAGGGGACATAACTCCGCAGTCTCTACAATGTTGGTAAACTAAAAGCCAAGACCAAAATCAGGAAGGTCCCTGTTAGAGCTGCTGTTTACAGATGCTGCTGTTATTATGATCCACACTAACGAGAAACTGCAATGCCTAACTACCTGCATTTTCTGATGTCTGGTGTGAACTTGGATCAGCAACAAGAAGCAAAGATTATGGGACTAATGATAGACCTGTACTCTACAGTGATGGTGAAGAGCTGGACATGTTGTCCATACCTGGGATCCTCAGTAATTATTAAACTTTCAATAGGCCAAGAAATCAACACCAGGATAAGTAAGGCAACAATATCAAGGAGTAGATTAACAACATTTGTTTGAGAAAACAGAAAGCTCAAAGGTTTCAACAATAATTTGAGGAAAAAAAGGACAGATCAGACAGTCAACCGCAACTGGTGACACAACGCAAAGTTATGAGATGATGATGATGATGATGACACTTTACAACATGTTGACTTATTTGCACCAAGAGAGACGGTTAAATAGCTCTCACCTGCGATGCCTATGAAGAACACTTGGCTTTAAGCGGCAAAACAAGAACATAAACACTGAGCAATTGGAAAGAACAGGACTCAGAATTGTTTTCTCAATGCTTATTCTCTGAAAGCTGAGATGGACAGGCCACACTTGGAGGATGGAAGATGGTAGAGCTGCTAAGGACATCCTCTATGGTAAATTACAGTTTGGCAGAAGATGTTGAAGTCAAGTGTGCAAGTGGGACATGAATGATACTGGTATTATGTGCATTCACTGTAGCAAGATGCTATGTAGTGTTGTACGGAGAGGGAAATCAGGAAGGGAACAGGGAGGAAATGCTTGCTGAGTTTCTGAGAAGAAGCACATTAAATAGATGCTTTGACAATAATGGTCTTAAAATTCCATGCTCTATAAGTGTGAAAGACTTTCTTAAGCTGAACAGGTCTTTGCAGCCGCATTAGCCAAAGCCATGTGCTGTGATCTCCATGTCTTGCTACAGCACAATACAACATTATCATATGGAAAGGTGGACAAGTCTAGAAGAAAACAACTTACAAAGCTAAACAGATAAAGTATACTTCCTACTTGTCACTGTAGCTTTAAAGTTTCATAGAGTGTGAGCTGGGTCATGTGCCATTTTCAAATAATGAACAAGAAACTAATAGATAACAACAAACATACCATTCCAATAATTGCCTATTGAATATTTCTGCCCAGATTCAGAATAGAACAACCTGCAAAATAAAATTTATCACTGACAAGAATAGTTCTTTTCATATCAACCCTTTATGCCCCCCCCCCCCCCTTCCCCAACTCCCAAAAAAAAGCAAAGCTGTTAACATTTCCTGAAAAGTCCTTTTATATGAAAACTTCTCTAACACTGTCTGTATTTGTTCAGCCTCAAGTTTTCCACAAGATAATATACTCAGTATCTTACCAACCTTCGTTAGTTGCCTCTAACTACATGTTTTGTATGCTATGATGTCATATTCTGTTTATTTTACTGACTCTAACCATCATCATCAAGTACTTTGCTGAATGGACATGGGTGATCATGCCTGTCAGGTCATATGTTATGTCATATTCTGCTTATCTTACTAATCATCATCATCATCATCAAGTGCATATGTTTCATATGTTATGATGTCACATTCTGTTTATTTTACTGACTCTAACCATCCTCATCATCATCAAGTGCTTTGCTGAATGAGTATGGGTGATCATGTCTGTCATGTTTCACACTTCGTCAAGTCTGAAACTAAGACTATTTCCACCGCTCAATACAGCAGATAATCGATGAGAAGCTTTGAGCCGACACTCAGCGACAAAAGGATGCCTTCACCCTGGAACAAGAAGCCTTGATCTAAGGTTCAGCAAGATAGAATGAGTCCCCTCTAGCCAGACATAGCAGCCACAGCCAGGAGCAAGGATCTTTTTGGATACTGCAATGAGTCTGGCCCAATTGTTTTTTTTTTTGGTCCCTTATTTAAAGCATAATCAACTGCTGTGCTGTTTTTTATGCCTTATCTACATGTTGTCATGTACAGCATTGGCAAAAGATATTAAACATAGGCTGAACAGTAGAAGGGAACTTTGATTGCAATATATCTCTGAGTTCTCCTCGCTATCCTGGGAAAGCAGGTAGTCTATGATTGTCATCCTGTGACCGCTCCTCAATTGTGTACTAGAATACCACCCCTGGCAATGATTGTTTGACCTGGGAGTCAGCATCCTAATGCTTCCAATCGTCTGGAATCTCACCACTTTAGAACACTTCCAGTCTCCGGTTCAACTGTTCACCCCAAGCATCCACAGACCTTCTAACAATGCCTCTCCACAACCTGCAGCGATCTCCAACAACTTTCATGAGCCCATGTGCTGACACTCCTCCATGCCGTGACAAAAGGCTGTCAAGAATTTTCTCCCACTGTCTTCCTCTATGTCTCTTTCCATAAATCATTGCAGTTGTCACAATATGCTCCAGTTCCCACCTTCTCCCTCTTAGTTAATAGAATAACAGTATTCACAGCATTATTCTGACAATCGATGTCAGTGCACTTTGTGAAAACCCACATGTGGTCCAGATCTAACAGTAAATACAAAAAACATGAGCTATGAATTGGGTTACCCTCACAGCACTTCAGACATGCCCATAGGTGTTCAGTTTCCCCCCTCAACATATACATCTAGTAAAATGGCTACTGAGGCCAGTTCTATGCTGGTTGACACAACTTTTTATACATCTGCTTTTCCTCTTGTAGTCTGGGTGTGCCACTCTCAATTCTTGCATCCTTAGCAGCAATAACCTTAAAATTCTTCAGTTCTCCCCGGTCTCTAACGGTATTCACAATATTGACAGCCAATTTAACCCAAATGACTGTCATTTCCTGCATCCACCACCGTTTTGGTCAAACCACACCTTTTCGTCTAGGAAACATACCTTCCAACACTAATGGTACCCATACTACACAAGAAATACATTCAATGGCAAATCCAGGTTGATAATATCAGATGTTTCTGAAAACTTAAAATGACAAGAATAAACAATAGGGAGTAAAAGACAAACATGGTGATTTGCCTAGTGTAAAACAGTTTATCTTTGCCTGTGTTCTCCCTTTGAGGTCAGCTGGCATGCTGTGTTTGGTTGACAGTTGGCTGTGATGTTGGTTCCGTCTGGACCAACACATTCTATTTTCAACAAACCCCTAATTAGTCAACTGTTATGACAGGTGTGCTGGATGGAAGAGGAGTGGGAGGAGTAGGGGATCTACCCATCGCCTCAAAAGCCCACCCACCCACATGCAGAGAGGCCTCCATTAAAATCAGCTAATTTTGAGAAAGGCGATGACAGAAAGAGAACATATCACAAAAGTCAGAAAAAGGCAGTTGACATTGTGAGCTCATTATAACATAGGGGGAAAAAAACAAACATGATATAAAAACCTAACATGTACAGAGAGGAGATTCTCCATTCTCTTGTACTGCAGGCCAGATCATTCTTCAGAGCAGCTACACATACAAAACCTCTCAGGCATTAAGCCCTGGATGTATATTAAGTGTCTTCTTTTTAAAGTCCTGCCGTGTGGCATTGGTAGTCATGTCTATCCACAACCTTCTATCTCGTGTACTTTCAATCATCTCTGACACAGATGATCTTCCATGCACGATGTCAAACTGTCCAGCATCTTTTCTCTCTATCTCCCTCTGCCTCTCCTCCCCTCCAAATTTCCTACTGTCACCATGTACTCTAGTTTTCTCCTTCTCATCACATGACCAAAGAATGTAGATTGTCTCTTTCTAATATGGACAATTACTTCTTTCGTGGGGAGTCGCCGTGGAGGAGCGGCTAGACGCGCGCCGCGGATCGGAAGGTCGTGGGTTCGCTCCCTGGTGGAGATGGACTTTTCTTCAAAAATGACCTTGACTCCCAGTTCGACCCAGCCTTGAGTAGATACCGGGTGCAATCCCGGGAAGTAGAGGCGGCTGGCGTGATGCTGACCACATCACCCATCTTGTGCCGTTGGTCCATAAAAATATAGGTCTAGCCCTATACGCCTTACGGCGTGGAAAGGGTCCTTTACTTTTTTTTATTTTTTTTACTTCTTTCGTGAGTCAGTTTCTTTCAAGATATCCTCACTGCTCTTTTTATCTGTCCAGGGTATTCTTATTATCCATCTATAGAACCACATCTCTGCAGCTTCCAAATAATTTCATTAGGTGTTACAGGCTGACAAAAAGGGAAAATCATAGTAGGGTTTACGCAGAAAGAAAAAAACAGACAAGCATGCATGACTGAGAATATCAAGTAAGACGGGGGATTGAGTGTAAGTGCCATAGGGAAAAGTCAGATTTGTATAAAGTAATAATCCCATTAGGCCAGAACTACACAAAAAGAAAGCTTTAATGACAATGAATAAAAACCACATAAAACATAATTATTAGTGAACTTTGCCACAGCTACTGAAGACAGTGACAGAGCATTTATGGGAATGGTCTGATGTCAGTTCTTAATTTATAACTCTTGACCACATGTGCAAGAACTTGTTACTGTCTTATTAGTCAATATTTGTATAGACCACTTGGCATTTAAAGATAATGCCAAGATCTTTCAAACCAACTTTACTTCCCAAGATATTTTCCAGGCCAATTATAAGAAGTCTGCTTCTATGTCGATTTGAACCCAAGATCTTTATAAAAAGTAAAGTAAAGGACCCTTTTCCACGCCTTAAGGCGTATAGGGTATATAGGGCTAGACCTATATTTTTATAGACCAACCAGCACAAGAGGGGTGATGTGGTCAGCATCACGCCGGCCGCCTCTACATCCCGGTACCCACTCAAGGTTGGGTCGACCTGAGAGCCAAGGTCATTTTTTTAAAAAGTCTGGCTCTTATAGGGAGTGAACCCACGACCTTCCGATCCGTGGCGAGCATCTAGCCGCTCTGCCACAGGGACTCCCAAGAACTTTATACTGGTAGGAAAATGCACCAGCATCATGGCATGGAGAATATCCCTCAGTTTTTTAATTTAAAGAAAAGACAGTTCAGATCAGGTCGTGGCCAGACTTCCAACCTTGAAGCCTGACAACACATAAGTAAAGTAAAGATCCCTTTTCACGCCTTTCGGCGCATCGGGCATATGGGCAGAGCGTCCCATATTTTTACAGACCATCAGCACTCTGTGGGTAATGTGGTCAGCATTACGCCGGCTGTCTTTACTTTCCCAGGACCGCCCATCCTGGTACCCATTTTAGGCTGGATCGACCTGCGACGTCCCATACCACGACAAAAATCCACGCAGCCTGCAGTGGGTTTCGATCGCGGTATGCTGGCTCACGAGTCGGACTCGCAACGCCTTAGCCACGGACGCCGCCTGACAACACATACTCATTGTTAATTGAGAAAAATCAGTGATGAATACTTCATTAGCTGCAGTATATTCCTCCACTTCTGTACTGAAACACTGGACTCAACCAGTTTCATGTTTTCTCACTTCTGTTATCTCATTCATGCTGTGTAGCACTAGTTAAGTCTTTCCACATCTTTCTGTCCCATGTCTGGCAATCATTTCTGATACTAATATTCTCCCATGCCACAGTGCTAGACTTTTCCAAGGTCTCATCTACTGGGCTCCCCCCTACTTCTGTTCCCTTCCAGTATTTCTTAATCACTTACTTATAAATGTTCTTTTTGATGTAATTTGGGAATAACCGCTTGAGATAATCTGTATCTGCAAAGTAAAATTGGAGACAGATTTCAGTTACCCGTGCACAGATGATTCTTCAAAGAATGGCTGTTTGTAACAAATATTGCAATAAAACAATTCAGTGTATGGTTTAGTTCTGTTACAGACCTGCACTTATCATACATACAACATGTCAGACAATGACGTTTCTCTCGCAGGTACTTACAAACTATTCATTTTAACTCTTTCCACAAACCTGCACTTATCATACTTACAACATGTCAGACAATGACGTTTCTCTCGCAGGTACTTACAAACTATTCATTTGAACTCTTTCCTCACCAAACATTACCCCATGTGTCAACAGACAATATTTTCTTTCTTTTGTTAATATCTGCCTAGTACCGCTAGGTGTCACAGTTGAACAGATAATAGGTAGCTGAGCCAGGGCACACTCAGCTGCTTGGTATGATAAACAGAGGCAAACAGCAATATACAAGGGTAGCAATCTAATGTTTAGTAGTCTGCCATTGCTTTCTGATTAGTTTTTGACGGTCATACTTTTTAAACATGTACTAATTCTTGGTTTAAACTGATACCTTCTAATTTTTAATTTTCAAACTTATCTACTAATTCTGGGTTCCTATAGATTACATTTGGACTTGTGTAATCATATACCAGTTTGGACTTGTGTAATCGTATACCAGTTTAGACTTGTGTAATCGTATACCAGTTCTGCATTTTTGAAATCAAACAAACAATAATGGATTTGTAAAATCATGTACTAATTCTAAATTTCTATAGAATTTCCATAAACATACAAATCCTGGGTTTCTATAATCCTTTAAATAATCCTGGGTTTCTATAATCTTTTAAATTTTTTTAGGTTTCTATAATTTTTTTTAATAATTCTAGGTTTCTATAATCTTTTAAATAATTATGGTTTTAAACAATAATAAATTAATTATAGCTTTCTATAAAAAGAGACTTTATGTTTTCTTAATCATGCACTAATTCTGGCTTTTTATGGTAAATACATGGATTCTGGCTTTTCACAAGTAAACATTAATGCTGGACTTCTTTAATAATAAGACTAACAGAGATTTTTGAAAAAGCCACCATACCACCATACTGCCCTGCTAGCGGAGAACTCAGGCTGATAAAGGTGTCCACATTATGCTCCACAGTGGCTAGTATAGCCCTGCAAATAAGGCCACCTGGACACAAGAGAAAGAAAACAAAGAAAACTGACCAAACGTGAACTTTTAAAAACAAATTTGGGTAGGTCAACTTAGAGGAGCGGCTGGCCGATCGGTTATGTCAGGTTCTCATAAAGAGACCTGGGTTCGATCCCTGGCAAGGTGATGTCAGGGAAAAGAAATTAAACATCTTAACCTGCACAGTTCGTGGCGACAGCACTAGCTGTGCTGGTCTAAATCCTCAGGCTCATGACCCGCTGCCCCCCTCCCAAATCTACATCACCCTAAAAACTGTTAAATTAAAGAGAGTAGTGACAGTGACAGTAAGGACGCTGATCCCAAACATATCCAAAGATAACAGAAATCTAAGAAACTCCTCAGTGCAAAATCAATCAGTAAGAAATATGTGAATGTGACAGATATTTTACTAACTGTACAAAATACATTCGAATGCCTTGGATTCGAATCGACATTGGACAGATTATATTTTTTTAAACTGACTTTAGCTCCAAAGTTGACCAAGGATAAAATGGGTATCAGAAATATGGCATACCACATCACCCATCTAGTGGCCAGGGATCTGTCAACATGTAAGTCCACTGCAATAATTCTCTAATGTCTTCTATCTGGCTTCCATTCACTGACTGACAACACACGAGAAAACATGGACGCTGGCAAACGATCCAAATTACACCGCTTGTTTATTTGGTCACTCGCTGGTACTGCAGCCAGTAAATGTTATGGTACAACACAATCACTCATATCTATCCTTACTCATTGAAAAATGTCAACCATACCTTATAACAAACATTCCATCCAGCAATTGAAAGATAACGACGAGTCCATCCGATCAAAACACACTCATACTCAGCTGGCTACAACTTCCGTCAGCCGTTACTGATGGCCAGGTAGGCGTTAAAAACCACTCTGTAGACATATCAGACTTGAACACCTTTTCTGGATCCCGCAGACACTCCTTCATACTTCATGTATTAATTTCACCATATACCTGATGTGCCAGTGGGTCTGTTACCTTAGTTTTTTAAAAATCCTCACACGTGAAACAAATTGTTACAGAAAAATATATCTACAACCGACTTGTTCTTCTGGTCCCCCAGTTACCTCAGTGTTAGAGATGATGTCAGGATCTTCTGTGTGTTCTGTGAATGTATGTGTATTTATGAATATGTCAGTGTGTGGTGTGTATATGAATGTATGTATGTATGTATGTATGTGCCTATAAAGTATGTTTGTATTATATGGTGTGTGTGTATACATGTGTGTGTGTACACCTGTATGAGTGTGTATGTATGTATGTACAAATGTATGTGTGTGTGGCATATATGTATATTGGAATGTATGCATTTAACATCTATGCTTTTCTGTATTTCACTTGATAGTCACATTATATATACTTTTATATGAGCATAATATGCTTTGAAGATAAAACACAATTGCTACGTAAAAGATGAGTGTTTGGAACAGCCAAATGTAAGATGGGTCTACATGGTCAGTTGGTTGGTGACCCTTTGAAAATAAAGTTTGTTCATTCCATCTAAAGTGCTGTGTAAGCTGGTTGTAACCTAGAATGGCCCAGACATAAAACAATACCAACAACAAAGTATCAAAGTTACTAAATATCAGGGGAAAATGATGCCTAAAGACAAACATATAAATGAAGCAGAGACCTTGAAGTCATAAAATACAATATTAAAGGAAAAGAAGTCCCATAGCAAATACTGCTCTTCGCACATTCTAGGCCATAACAAATGAGGTGGGATGGCCCAATACATTCTTCCACATGTTTCATCATCATCATCATTATAAACCACTTCTGCCGTTAAGCATCGTAGGGAAGAATAATTTGCGATCCAGTGCACATTGGCTGCCACTGGCTATTGTCATGCCGTGCAGGCGTAGAGTGTCTTTAATGTTGTTGATCCATGTTTTCCGCGGCCGTCCTCATGCTCTTGTAGCTGATCTTCTGAGATGTAGTGCTTGTGATGGTATTTGATCTTGCTGCATTTTAACGAGATGGCCAAACCACTTGATCTGCTCTTTCTCGATGAATCTAGTACATGGTGTCGTTCCCACAATTTGCCTGATAGCTTCATTATTCACTCGATCTCGTAACATGTTTACTTCTCGAAAATTCTGGAAATCATCTGTAACCATTGTTATTTGTGATTATTTAAAAACATAAATCACATTGAAGGATTATTCTTCTGCATATGTCCTTAAAGTGGCAATTGGCACAATGTGATGTAGTTTACAGCAAGGTAATGATATTGCAACTGTATGCCTCAACACATCCTATTTCAGGAAAACTTGACTTGGTCACATTTTACACATCATCCTTGTTATGAACTAACTGGCATATAACCCCTCTTCACCGACCCTTTTCCTTTGCTACATGTCACCCTGGAAGCCATATAGATGTGGATATGTCACCCTGGAAACCACATACATGTGGATATGTCAACCTGGAAACCACATACATGTGGATATGTCACCCTGGAAACCACATACATGTGGATATGTCACCCTGGAAACCACATACATGTGGATATGTCACCCTGGAAACCACATACATGTGGATATGTCACCCTGGAAACCACATACATGTGGATATGTCATCCTGGAAACCACATACATGTAGATATGTCACCCTGGAAACCACATACATGTAGATATTTTTTTTAAACTAATGTTGGACGACTTGTCTCTGAATAATGGATAAGGGAGTAAGCAGGACAGTGGTTTACTCAAATGATAGTAAATCTGAATATGTGAACCTCCAAAATTTTCTCGAACAAAAAATCTGTTAATGATATTAATATTTGGTGTGGAACTAACCTTGGGAAAAACAGACTAGTATAGTTCCTTCTGAAGATCTGTTGGTCAAAATGGGTTTCAGAAGGTCTGTTATGTTGGCAACTTGCAGCCACATGTTGGTCAGACTTGCTGCATTGTTGAACAGGTTCACCGGTGTTGTTGGGGTGCCCTGGTGGTACTGAAAGAGCAACAATAAAGCTAAAGAATGTCTGATAATACCTTTAAAGGTACTACAATTGAGAACTAAAATCACAATAAGGGTGTCTGAAGGCGACAGTACAGACTTTATTGTACCAGGAGTTTCATGTGGCTACAGTATATTGGACATGAATCATAAACTGTTCGTGTTTGCAGTTTATGTTTTGCAAATGTGCTTTGTAATGCTGAAATATCTAGTTTGATTCCAACTGAAAGTGATCTGGCGGTAATTTACACTGATTCCAACAGTGATTCGGAGTATCAACTGATCTGAAGCAATGGAAAACTACTGCATGTAAAACTGCCTAGTAGAAACACAAAGAGCCTAAAATTAGCCTATTCTAGGACATAAGGCCTTCCATGTGTTCTAGAACATACAAGGTGAGGTGGCCAGCTCCTTTCATTGTTACCAGCACTGGGTTTATGTTAGAGCTCAGTAAGCTCCAGCTTAGGACTTCATCAAATCTATATTTGGTCCTGCTTGACACTCTGTCTTGCCAGACAACTCCCAGAATTATAGAAATTGTCAGTTTTAGAATGTGAGTGAGGTCAACTCAAGGGCCATACTAATTTGAAACAAAATGATCCTGCAAGCACATTTCTTGTATAAGATGATTTGTTTGTTCTATTTGTGTATAATAATAACAACAGTATAGCAAACACATTTACATGCCAGTAAGGCATGTTGGGGATGTGGCAATAAGTTGACACTGTGTATGCCCAAACAAGACTAATTCTGATGTGATGATCATCTATACTTTCCCAGAGAACTCTCTGGTATTTAGAAGTGCATGTGGAATAGCCACCCCTGTCACTAGAAAGAATATAGTACAAATGTTCAGTAGATAAAATATACTACTTAAAAAAAAAAACATAGGTACAGAAAGAATCATAACTTTATCATAAATCTGATATTTAAAACCTTTGTAATTTATTCAGCAAAACCGTTAACATTGCATAAAAGAATACTTCAGTGTTCAACCAGTTAATTGACAGTTATTCTCCATCTGGGTCATCAATCGTTTTTAGGCTTTTCTGTCAACTAATAAAAACGTGTTATCAGACAACTATGTATTTGTTGTCTTTTTTAACACTACACTTCTTGGTGTCCAGGTGTAGCAGGGCATATTCTACAGAAGGGATTTCCAAAAACCAGTACATTTCTGTTTAACTTAACTCTTTCAGTACTAGCCTATAGTTATCCCTTAACCCCTTAGATCTGAGAAGTTCTAGTTTAAAGTAGCCAATATTTGAGTTCAACAAAGTTTAAGTAATAACATTCTGGGCAGAAACAGTCAAACTAACAATTCGGATTAAGTCAATGTAACAATTATCCATGATAAAAGAAAAGTATTTGGACTAATTATTGAACCTATGATACTTGTGTGGAAACTTTTTTGGCTGTAGACAGTACTGGCAACTTTTTGGGGAATTACTTTTTTAGTACTACTGTAATATATGTTTTGTGGTGAGCACAGGCACCATTTGTTTCCTAGAAACAATACCAGGCTCTAATGATTTCTGAAAGAGTTAAGACTTATTCCTGGTAGAAGGTCTTGCTAAAGCTGCAGTGAACCTTCCCTACCCACAACAGAGCTTTAACAAGGCAAAGATACTCCTTAAATAATCTCTAAAAGTTCACTGGAGAGAGAAAATGACAATCACAGACATGAGTTGGCAGCATTAATGCTTGCAGAAATATGCAGATGAGAATTTTAAACACTTAGAACAAGAGGATGTGAACACACAGAGCCCACCTTCACCAAAGGTGTCACTCTGACTCAACCACATGCAAATGCTGAGCACTCAAAAAAACTCCACAACAACACCTCAAAAGACTGTCCAATTTTTCCAGAGAACTAAACCTGGCCCAACGAGTGGCCCTTCAATGCAAACTATGGACGACTATTGTTGCACCACCTGTTTGCGACCAATGCCAGAATAGACACATATTAAATATCGATGAATAAAGATGAAAGATGAAACCATTTACGGAACTAGCACTAACATAATGATGAAAGCTGTGTATGCTTGAAGTTCCATACATCAATAAATATTACACAGCAATTTAGCTAAAGCATTCTTATATACCAACCTCTTGCACAAGATTGTTGAAATGGTCAAATTCTTTGGGACCAGCAAATATTCCATGCATGAAAACAACATGTTTGTAGCCTCCAGCCTGGCTCACCAGTGTGGCAACAATGATGCCAGTTAGTAGAGCAACAACTGACACTCTGTGGTATGGCATTTCTGGGTTGCAAGGGTCGTCTTGTCACTGTCAATTGATTTATTATAATATGCCAGATTTATCAAGTTTTGATCTTTAACAGTCTGGGCACAAGGAAGCCATATATTTGGGAAAAACGAACAGATCATATAAAAGATGACTAATTAAGGGCGTGTCCTTCTAAGTCTTAAAAGGCTCAGGTGGCAAGATCACACTTAGAGGAGCGAGGATTGTAGTCCCTAAGGATATCCTGAACCTCTTTGGTGAATTACAGAAGGGTAAAAGTTGTTAAGAATGGCCTCATCTATTATATTAACATGTGTGCAAGCGGGACATGAATGATTCTGGTATTGACGTGTATTCGTAGAAACAAGAAGACATTGACTGTGTTGCATAAAGGGAGAAATAAAAAATGGAGCTGGAATAAAGAAGGTGATTATGCAGACAGGATAAGCCAAGTGTTTGTTAAATAGATGCCATGGCCAGTGTTTCTGAAATTACTTATTTTAATTGTGGAGGACTTTTCTTAACTCTTTCAGTTCAGGGTGTTTAGCATCAGAGACGCACGGGGGTAGTGCAGGGATCCATATAATTGGGACATCTTGCGTTCATGGGGCTTCTATGTACGAACTACTAATGTGTGATGTGTTCCTAGACACTGAAAGAGTTAACCTGAGTCGGTCTTGCTTGTCACACTCGCCATTGATGTGGGCTCCAATGTCCATACTTTCCTATAATACACAAAAAAACACTATCGCCTTGGAAGACACAAAAAAAAAGAAATGAATGAAATATCAAAAGTGTAACTTTTTTTTTTTAACACCAACAATAATCTGTAATAATACTAATATAATACCAACCATGTTGGCGTCTGTGGCTTAGGCGTGGCGAACGCGCTTCGTAATGCCATAGTGCTAGGTTCAATTTCAGCTGCGGAGGATTTGTCTAGCATTAGTTTTGACAGTGGTACAGAGAGTGGATCGTTCAGGAAGTAATGGCAAACTATTGAACATAAAATTTGCCTAGAAAAACCACAACAGCCACACACAAAAAACGGGTTGAGATTAATTCTGCACGTCCTGTAAAGGATACCCAACTGTTTTATTTATTTTTAAATACCAGCCATAACCCAGAACTGTTGAACGAGATATTATTACAGGTACAAATACAATACAATCTCCGATGATCAATAAATACACCTAAAGGATGGTAAATGAGATAAGTAAACATATTTAGTGCACAACTACTTCAATATCAAACAGCACCTTTCTATAACTTTTAAAATCTCATCAATTACATTTAATCCTTTATTTTTACTGCAGTGAACGTCTGTGTTTAGAGTTATTGAGTGATTAATAAGGCATGTCAATGAAACAACTTTACTGCTATAATCGTAAACATTTTTTAAGTTTAATAAGTGGATGGTGATGATGATGATGATGATAACAAAAATAATCAGAGCCAAGGCAGATAATTAACTGTTTGTTTACATTCAAGTTCGACCCAGAGATACAGATACACACACAAAAAAAACGATGAATAGCTCAAGGCTGGTTGGTTCGACGACTCAGCAGAATAACGTTAAGAAATGATCCCTTGAAGTATGATCATGCTAACAAACGAAGACGAGGAAGAAGATTAGATAACAGTGTTATTTACACAAACACCCCGAATAAACGCGTTTTCTTGGCAACAACAAAAAAAAAAAGAAAGCTTGCCAGGTGCCTACTTTCACTTTGCAAACTAGCACGCCCGATCAAATCAAAATAATTTAATTTCGTCTATGAGTTTGTTGTTATTTGTTTGTTTTTGTAACCAGAAGCCATGAGTTGTTAACCCTTAGGCTCGGTATTATGGATATCGCAACCGTTCGGTCTTGATTCCATTGTAAATACCGTAAATCTGAGAGAAATGTGGCTTTTCTGCCCACCCCCGTGAGTGAACCCGCACCACAAGGAGTTCGTCACCCGCGCAATCCGGTTTAGCCAACTACGCTAGAGATACTGGCTTCGTCCTAAGTAAAGAGAGTGATAGACCTTTTCAGCCATTGGTTCATTGGGAATATGGTGCTGAACTTATAGTATTATATCATAGTAGTAAAGCGATGTGTGATACGGCCAAACTCCAGGATACTGGTGTCCATTTTAAGTTGGGTCGACTCGGAGGCAAAGGGTAAATATGACAAATCTGTTCAAGTGCGATTTCGATCACAGGACCTTCGCACCAGTATGCGAGGGTCTAGCCACTGCGCTACCTTGATTCCCGGTTGTCTATAATAAACAATCAAACGCATGACACTTTTAGGGCTGCGTTGGGCAAGGGAAAGACTAAAGACGTATTTAAGACTGCGTATTTATACAGATGGTATGGTACTGAGAGGACAGAGAAGTGCCCAGGGGTTCGTAGTAAAAGCCAATAAAAAATCTTTAGTGCAAGACGCCACAACATCTAGCATGAGAATGGAGGTGGAGGCGGTATATGACATAACATCATCTAGCATGAGAATGGAGGTGGAGGCAGTAACTGCAGCTCTCCGGTGCATACACATATCGCAATTGTAACAGACTCAGAAAGCATGCTGAGAAAAGTAAAGACAGAGATGCTTCGAGCAGAGTGGCTAGCTTCAATGGGAAGGTCACGGGTCGTGAGCATACTCTAGGCCATGTTGGCGTGGTGGGTAATGAACAGCAGACAGATTGGCTAGATCTGCACCACTGGGCGGTGAATTGATACATGACAAGGCAGATGTGGTAAAGGCCCTTTGGGGACAACGGAATCAGTAGAGAAACAATATTATTATGGCCTGGGGAGAATGAGGCACCTGATAGGCTCACTACACTCAGAGGAAAGGCAAGACGGACATATATCCAGATTGTGACCAGACCATCAGTATCTGCGCTGGCTGCTAAAGATGAGGACGGAGCACGCATGGGATTGTCCCGAGTGTTGTGATGTCGATTCTTGACCCAACTGTTCACCCCCCCCCCCCCCCCCGCACCCCTTATTCCTAGTTTTTTTTTTTTTTTTTTTCAAAAAATGCCACATTTTCGAACATTCGAATCAAGTTTTCCCAAACATGAGCCAAACCTGCTAACTACTCTTTCAGTCGCTCCCCTGTAATGACATACACTGTAACGAACGTTATTTTTTGACTTGCTTATTATTATTATTATATTATTATTATTATTATTATTATTATTATTATTATTATTATTATTATTATTATTATTATTATTATTATTATTATTATTATTATTTTACTCATTTTTATTATTAATAGTTTTCTGTCACTATTTCATTTTCCTGTTTGATAATTATGCAAGGAAACAAGTTTCGTACAATCAGCTTCTTTTTCGTGTATCAGTACATGATCTCCTATGTCAAGGACACAGAAAACGAAATAACAACAGAAACCGGAAGAAAAAAAAGGGGAATTTCCATAGGAAGCTAAAAGGGGTACACATCACGGAAGTTACCCCATCTCACGGCCGTGTGACTGGCCCTTGCTGCGACTTTTGCGCGGCTTTTTTGGACCCGAAGATCGTTTAAGGTGTCCCTAATCTGCTGTATCACCATGTCACGGCGCTTTTTGGCTGTGGCTTTAGACCACCAACTGACTTTCCCGTGCCCTTGGCCTCGATGGTCGGTTTGAGTGTAACCCATCACCTCTCTCATTTTCAGTGCTTCTTGGGCAGATTCAATCTCATCTAGGACCTTCCATTTGACACCTGTCTTTAAAGCGGGCTGGACAGCAGTGACAGTGGGGTCTGAAGACTTTCGCAACATCATCGCGAGTCTTACTTTGCCAAATTCAAACTCCTCGGTTATTGATTTGAACGGTAGTACCAGCTTCGTCTGTTTACAATACTGAACCACATCAGTCAGCCAAGGTGGTGCTCCCAACCATTTCCTTATGGCTATGTTGATTTTACGCTCCATTGCCTCCACTGCCGTCATCGTCACTTCGTAGACAGCTGCGGCCAGGGGAGCTTTGGGGTCAACATAAACTGGAGTCACCAGACCTTAAACTTTCCGATCAGCCTACTACGCTCAGTCGCGAGCAGACCTGTAGCCTGTGACTCGTGTATTCACCGGACCTCATTTCTATTAGATAACTTCGAATCGTAAATGAGACCAAAAAGAGTCTCAAGCGTCAGCGAGATGTGAGTACTCTCGTACCATAAAAAAAAAAAAAAACCTACACAAGAGTCAAGGCAAAACGTCGTACCCTTGCCCTTATTGTATAGTAGCACTGAAATGGAAGGTATTTATTCCCTATGGCAGTGGTCGGCAAACTCTTTAGTCAAAAGAGGCAACAATCAACAGCAGGATGATTACAGTTTTTGTTGGAAGCCAAATTTATTTTCAAGAACCTGTCAGGAAGCATGTTTATCGGAGTCAAACCCAATTTTTGGCCGACTGGCCGAACCATACTTAGGTCGCTAAAGAGCCGCATGCGGCTCGCGAGCCGCGATTTGCCGACAACTGCCCTATGGGGATTGCTATGTAGAGGATTTCTGCCTTAAGGAAAGGCGGTCCGCCACAGAGAAAATATTGAAGCCGGCGGGTACTGATCCCTCTACTCAATGATTTTTAAAGGACGGGGAAATGGCTCTAGCTTTATTTTCTGGCACAAAAATGATATAAAAATAATAACAGTTGCCATAAATTTATTATTTTTGGACAGTTAAACAAGGCTTAAGCTATTTGAGCCCATCCACAGACCCCTAAAATGATTGAGAGCTTCAAAGAGCTTAAGACTTGTTCAACTGCGCACCACCAGGGGCTGACACCCCCCCCCCCCCCCAACCATGTTTTCGATTATGTCTTTGAATTTACTGTGAAGTAAGAATTGGGTACCAACTGAATTAGGCATTTTCGTCTTCTTTGGAACCAGGCTGAAAACTAATCAAGCTTACATGTTTTCTTGAAAAGCTGAAATTAACGGGGAGAATCAAAAGCTATACGAAGGATAAAATAAATAAACTATTGTACACTATCATTAACGTGTGTGTCCAAGT